GACGTCGCAATCGGCGGCACACTTATGCAGTTGTCTCAACAAACATGGGAACCTATAGCATTTTTCTCTATGAAACTCAATAAAAGTCAACAGAAATGGTCCGCGTACGATAGGGAATTATTTTCTATTTATTCTGCAATTAAGAAATTCCGACACATGTTAGAGGGCAGAAATTTTATAATTTATACGGATCAAAAACCGTTAATATACGCTTTTAAACAGAACCCTCATAAATGTTCACCTCGACAATTGCGCCATTTAGATTTTATTTCTCAGTACTCTACTGATATTAGGCATGTGCAAGGTTCAAAAAAACGTCGTTGCTGACGCTCTTTCAAGAATCGAAATTGATTCCATAACAAAATCTCCATTTTTGGATTTTAAAAAATTTTCGGAAGCTCAACGGCATGATCCGGAGGTACAAGACCTTCTCAAAAACAACACATCATCTTTGAAACTGGAATTTAAAACCGTGCCAATATTCTGATGGTAATATTCTTTGTGACATATCAACAGACATTCCTCGTCCATTTGTTCCGAATTCCTTTCGCAGACTCATCTTTAATCATCTGCATAATCTGTCACATCCAGGAATTGCAGCTACTACGAAGCTTATTTGTTCTCGTTATGTATGGCCCGATATGAAACGTCATATCAAAAATTGGGTGAAATCCTGTGAATCTTGCCAAAAATCGAAAATTACTAGGCATACTAAAGCACCACTGGGCACATTCTCTCTTCCTGATGCACGTTTTTCAGAAATCCATATGGATATCGTCGGACCGTTACCTCCATCAGAAGGCAACGTGTACCTTTTGACTCTAATAGATAGATTCTCCAGATGGCCTGAAGCCATTCCCATCCCGGATATGAAAACGGAAACCATTTGCAGAGCCATCTTCAACTGTTGGATATCTCGTTTTGGCTGCCCATCGATCATAACAACAGACCAAGGTTCTCAAATGAGATCCGCACTTTTTGCAGAATTCCACGCGCATTTTGGGTACGAACAGAATCACAACAACAGCCTATCATCCAATGTCCAACGGCATTGTTGAACGATTTCATCGACATTTAAAATCTTCTCTCAAGGCTCACGAGACCAATAACTGGACTGAAACACTACCAGTTGTTATGCTTGGTATTCGGACAGCCGTAAAGGAGGATCTACAGTCATCTTGTGCTGAACTGGTGTACGGCACAACTCTCAAGCTGCCTAGTGATATGATAACGTCATCTAAGATATCTCCGTATGACACACAATTTATCACGAATCTTAGGCATAGAATGCAACAATTGAATCCAATAGCAACATCTGCACATTGCCAAGAAAAATGTTACGTAAGTGCTACCTTAAAGTCGTGTACGCATGTATACTTACGTGTCGATCGAGTAAAGCCCACCTCTGTGCCAACCATACACAGGTCCGCATAAAGTCCTTTCTAGAACGGACAAAACTTTCACAATTGATATTAACGGTCTGAAATCTACTGTGTCTATAGACCGTGTGAAACCAGCCTATTTGCTTTTCGGACTCTAATTTGCCTGAACTGAAAACAAATAAAGACTTAAAGACAGTTCAGCAGAATAAATCTGCAAACGAACTCTCTAAGACACAAACTGTCACCAGATCGGGAAGACATGTTCACTTCCCTAAGAAACTTGCTTCTTACATAACAATTTAAAACACTTTTTTAAAATTCATATCTTAACATATTTCTTGTTATTTCATGTTTATTATATGTGTCAATACCTTGTTATATATTGAATTGCATTTTGATCTTTTCTAATTTTATATTCTAATTTTGTAATCATAAAAAAAATACCCGACAGCACGGATACTCTGAGATAATTTCATAACCTATGTCGTTCCTTTGAATAGCCATTAAAGGAACTGGGGGGAAACTCTGTGGTGATGGCGATAAGGAGCGCGCCTTGCGCCCTCCGATAAGTGTGGCAACCCTAGAGGAGAAGCTTCTTACGAGTAGCGAGCAGAGCGAAACAGGCAGGCTGTCGGGCAGTGTGCGCGAAGTTCCTAAATAAAGTTTAATTTTTATTGTGCACTATGTCTTGTTAATATTTATATTAATGCAGTAAGAACATAATCTGTGATATGGAATTCGAGGATTGGTGGTAAAAACATAACAGGAAATTTCCATACATGCCTTCGTGATTTAGTGGTCAGCACGCTCGGCCTGTATCCGAGAGGTCCAAGGTTCGGGTCCCAGCCAGGGCATTGCTCATTTTTCACGTCTCTCAGCATAAAAAAATCTGAATGAATCTACAGTGGTGCCCAAACTAAAAAAGGGGGTGAATGGTGATTCTCCACCACCAGGACTTGGCAATTGGTTCTTCTATTCCCCAGTCGCCCTTTAAAAGGGTGAATATACAAGGTATTTCTCTCACCATCATGGCTTCGTGATGTCGTGGTCAGCATGCTCGGCGCATATTCAAGAGGTCCGTGGTTCGAGTCCTGAAGTGGGCATTGCTCATTTTTCTTCTCTCCCGCTTTCAAAAAATACCTAATGCCCCTACAGTATGACAATCATGTATCATTGACTGTCTTATCGTTACATTAACTGTCATGGCACCAAGACATGGGGCTCTCTGCTTGTCGTCTCCAGTATTACACCAGGAATTAGAAGATGGACCCAATCAAAGCTGGAAAACAGAAGCTTTCATATCAAAACTCCGCTGCTTAATTTGGAAAGGGGGATTCAAGACTATGAAGCAGCATCAGCTGAAAGAGCAACATGTCAGTGTAAAATTTGAAATCAAGAAAAAAAGAACTCTTTCTTGGATGTGCATATTGAATAAAACCCGATTTCGAGGATGATGGCTTACAAATCTTTCTTCTTCAGAAACAATTTTATTTATTTATTTATTTATTTTCAAATATGAGGAGTAAAAACTTTTTTTTTTTTTAACCAAAAGCAATTTGCCGAGCAAAGTGATTTAAAATGTTACCTATCTATTCGAAAAAAGAAACAATGACAAGTGAAAAACAAGATGTTTGAAGCCTGAAAGCATTAGATGAACTGGTTTGAAAATAATGTCATCACGTAGAGAAAATAAATTTTTATAACTCTGAGAAGATTTAAGAAAATCCATTTCACTATCTGAAGAAGCTTTAAAGTATCATTTTTGAAGAACCAAACTTAAAATTGTGATCAAACGTCAAACTATGATTAAGTACTGAATATTTGTTTATTTCTAACAGAATATTTGTGTTCTTTGGAGCGCAAACCACAATAATAAAGATATGCTATAATTTCTCCAACAGTTAAAATCAGAGATGAGGGTCTTCAAAAATCGAAAAACTAATTTTACTTAGAGGTAAAAAAAGGACGTAAAAATTAAACTTCTGAAGAATCCTAGCCATTTTAAAACTGACAGGTACAGGAACAAGCAAAAGTGGGAGAGACACCATATTTTCACTATATTTGGGTTGTATAGGTATTGCATCTCAGCAGGTTATACGGGTTTGCATCTCATTGTGCAACTCAGCCCCAGTTTTGAGGGACAGCACACCGAGGATCTGCCATCTCTCTTTCCCTACGACCAAGCACCCGACAGAACTTTCAGTTCGCCAAATATATCAAGTAATTGAATAATCAAAATCAAAATTCGAAAGGGTTTTTAAAATACTACAAAATTAAGCATCCAGATTTATTAATTAAATAATAATTTTTATATTGCAGTAATTATTGTTATCTAAAATAATGTAAAGATCTGTTCTTACGGTTAAAATCCTAATGAAATAATGAATTTATTTTGATTTTCGTCATTGAGCGCTTGCAACATCGATGTATTTCCGTTTTCTTTTAAGATAAATAATTTAATCAATAAATTATAGATAATTAATTTATAATAATTTAAATTAAATGAAATAATTTCATTTTAAGTTATTTAAAATTAAATTACTTTTTAATTTAAATTATTTAAAATTAAATAATTTTAAATAAAACAATAACAGACAACAATAATAACCGACGAGGGTCATCTTACAGGGAAGTAGAAATGAAGATATCTTATTAGATATCACTATGCTAATATTACTATGTATTCTTATTGGAATGTAGTGTTGTTCTTGTGACTAATCTCGCTTGCCTAATATCAGAGCAAGGCCACGAAATTCATCGTGGCAAGAAGGAAAAACTGTGCCTGTCGTTGGCAAGAGCCTTGAGCACCATACAACAAATGGCAATCCGACTGCTTAATTCACCCCCCCCCAATTTTGAAGAACACCCCGGAGGAGTTAATGCGAGGGTCCCCCATCTTCCCCTACCACTAGCCTCTCGAGAAGACTTTCGTCTCGCCACATATGAAGAGTGCAATAATACTGCGCAGACACTATACATTTACAAGCCTTCTCCGGGTTTCGTGCCCGGGCCCTTTGGTACGGCAGCCATCTTCGCTAACCGCTATCCCACTGGATGGCACATTACAAATTAAAAGTAAATGGAAAACATTTTATTCACTTGATCATAAAATTTAATTGAACTATATTCCTTTTTCAAACATTGCTCAGCAACGGTTACACGATACAAAATACGGCGTTGCGACTCCAGCTTCAAGGACCATAAATATAATTGTTTGTTAAATAAGAAAATATTACTAAATATATATATATATATATATATATATATTTTTTTTTTTTTTTTTTTTTTTTTTTTTTTTTTTTTTGGATGAGGTATGTATTTGAGTTACATCTGACTTAAAATAACATGCCGAAGAAGGATTCTTTTTAAAAGAGATGTTAAGAGAACAAGAATCACAGTAGGATTCACAAATTTCCAGGGCGAAAGTTTTTTAAAGTTTAAACGCATGACTTTCTTTTTTATGTCCAGAAATTCCAATTGAAAAAAAAAAAAAGAGAGAGATCAGTTTCTGAGTTACAAGTCTAATAATTCAGAATTACTAGGAAAAATTGTTTATTGTAACATTGCAGTTGCAGGTTTTAGAATAGTAGTCATAAAAAATTGCGAAAAGATATTTACCTTCACTTGCAGCCTGTGACCAAACCAAAGGAATTAGCACGATGAGAAACAAACCAATGCTTTCATATTTGAACTGCATTTTTACCACTCCAAAGAGTCCTTCTTATTAATCACAAGCAGTTTATTTTAATTCTGTCCTTGGGATACACCACACGTGTTTCTGAAGATAACAAAAGTAATATCATTTTGTCGCAGCTGCTTTCATGCTACTTTTCTTTCTCAGGTCAAGTAGCATTACATAAAATGGGAGATCGTATTAAAGTTAAATTTCGTTATTTGTCAAAAATTATTATCGTTATTTGTCAAAACATTTTTTTTAATTTGACATTTTCAAAAGGTGAATACTTTCGTCATTTAAAACACCTCTATTATGGGTATATATATATATATATGTAGATATTCCAAAATATATATTCATCCCAAAACTTAGAATGTACGCACATTTTTAGACGATCTTTATAGTATTTACAGAAGCATCTTGCTTAAAATTTTTGTGTTTTAGATGTTTCATTTGATAACCCTTATTCATCACTATCTTTCTGCATCGTAATTGCCAAGAAAATAAAGCTTTTTTTAGTAGCGGAAGAGGAATTTTATCCCATTCTTCTTCAGCGTCTTTCCGAAGTGCTAGGAGGGCTGTAGGTCGACGTTTGGAGAATTTTCTTTCTAAAAGTCCAAATCCGCAAAATATCCGTTGATGATACATCAGGAGAATTTAATAGGGATGTGAGTGAAGGGTAGAGCCTTGATACACGTTTCTTGTTCCATTTTTCCCAGAAAATTAACAGTGGATTTTGACGTGCGGCTGCGTGTTTTGTCTTGATGCAGTTCTACTGATGGATGGGCACTGTGGTTAAAGAGAACTTATTTCGTATTTGAAAATAAAATATGTTCCTTATAATATGTGGAGTTGACCTTAACAATTTTCTGTGCTCTCTTTAATTTTTATTTTTATTTATATCAAAAAACAACAATAACCGTAAATCCTTTTAAAAACTTTTTTTAGATTCTTTGAACCATGTTGAACCATTCTTTGAACCAAGACTTTTTCTACTCTTTGATGACAATAAATGGATCTCTTTTTATTGGGGTCATTTAAATATACACAAAATTCATCTATTCTGACAACAGTTTTCCATTTGTCCGAATAATTGCTTCTCATAGACAATTCTGCAGAGCGTTCTGCTTTCGACAATATGTCGTGTAGAAAATGAAGCGCGTAAAATTTTTTCGCCCAATTTAAAGATTCAAATCATCTTTAATCGCTTTGCTTACAATCGACACTGAGAATTTTAATGATTACGCAGCTGCTTTAGATTATGTTTTTAACATTAAAAAGCCTTTTAGCTTCATTATTTTTTGAATCTAACTATTTAGATATTCAGTTTCTAAATCAGAGAAAATATAAAGGAGACAGACAATAATCAATTTTACATAAACAATGAATTCTTCCCTGAAAAATCAAGAGACTCAATGGAAGCTTTTCATAACGATATTAGACCAAATAAGGAATATTACCTAACAGATTCTTATTAAGCTTTGCACCGAAATTTTCCATAAATGTTAATGCATACATTAAACATAACTAATACAAATGCGTAACACCTTTTTGTATGCGTACGTCTAATCAGATCGCCGAATAGATTGTCTTCAGAAACGAGAGAAGCGAAATTAAATTACAACAAATTAAAGAACCTATAACCACAGAATTCTAAATACAAGGTCACTTAGATTCTGAAAAGTATTCGTTAGCTGCTGAAGCTTCGTATAATTTGCACGTAAATGTATGGAAATTTTTATTTAAATATTTAAAATAGTATAATGAATGATTTATTAATAAGAAATTTGCCTCCAAAAGATCTGCATAAAAATTTACTAGTGTGCTTATTAGTTTTTCGTTGTGAGGGTGAGGGTGAGGATTGTATAAATAACACTCCTCACTATGCGGATGCAGTTTTCATAATATTATGTAATTTATTTTATTAGATGTTTAAGCACAGAATCAATATGTAACCAAATAAGACCTTTCCCAACATTCTCTATTCTAAAGTAAAGAAATTAAAACGTGTCGTTTTTCCATATTTTGTGAGAAAACTCTTCAGTGAATTCGAAATAGACATTCAGTCTGCTTTCAGTGCTGATAATTTTTAAAAGAGAAATTTGGGCAAATTTGTTTAAGCAAATAACTTTATTTAGGTTGCATTAGGATGAAAATAAATATTCACTCCAGAATCGAACTCAGGATGTAACTAGAAATTTTCAGCAACGTTACTTTCTCGGCAATTAGTTTTTATGCTTCTAGTGTTATATAAAGTAAACTGTTTGAGCAAGAGATGCATAAAGCATTTAATTTTAATCTGCAGTAATAAGTTTTCAATACACATGAAATGATTCATAAGCCTGGTATGACTTTAAATAAAATAAAACAACATCAACAAGTAAATTAACATCTTTAACGGCAGATTTTATTTTAAAACAATTGCATTAATGATTTTGTTTCGCTAAAAGGAAGACTAATGAAATTATAACTACACAACAATTAAATTACAATTAAAGTTACTAGAGTTATCAGGTTCAATGTTCCGTCTTACTTTCTTCGGAAACATGCAAGGACCTGACTCGGAACAGAGAGCTTACTAAAGCTATGTTCAATAACTGTGGGAAGTAGACAGGATACACAAGAAGGGTATACAAAACCCTTTATTTTTCTCTATTTACAATAATTTCCGTACTTCGGAATGCAAGGACCCACTACTCGTGGTCTAAACGTAAGAATATAAAAATATAACTAAACGCTAAGTTTGAAATAATAAACGTAGAAGATTGGCCTTATATTAACAGGAAGCCGTATGTAGTACAGAGAACTGTGAACACTACAATACGTTTAAAATTATCAAGAGGATTAAACCTCTGGCCTGGAAGGCAACCAGCAACTGAGTAAAACTTCTAAGGTAAGCGGCCTGCTCCGACTAACTGCTTCCTCTCTTTCGCTTGGCAAAAAGCCACAACTTAAATACTTGGCGTTCGCCAGACAAACTTTGCATAAATACATTAACGCTTATAATTCTGGCCGGAAGTAGAAAATAAGAAGTGATAGTAAAGATTTAAAATAAAATAAACGTTAGTAAAACTTAAGATCCTTACAGAGTTAGCTTATAAGATGCCTGAGAAACAGATTATAATAATTTTTTATTATACCGGTATTATTTTATTTTTATGCAATTATTTTGTATATTATTTTGTTTCTACATGTTTCGTTATATGATAGAATAATCAACAGACATGATTTTTAAGTAATCAAAGAAAAAAAGTAACAAGGCGCGGTTCTGGCTCTTAATTTGGAATGAACTTTGCAAATTAAAACAGGTATATTATTTACAGTTCTAAATTTTCGAAACATGCTGTTTACAGCGTTTAATTTTGTTCATATATTCATTCTGTTACTGGCATTTCTATTAAACCAAATCCAAAAATCAGTCCTAATATTAAGCTTTAAATTAAATTTATGAGTGATCCTTATAGTTTAACATAATATGTATTACGTAGGTTCACTATAAACGGCATATACCTTTCAAAACGGTTGCCAATATATTATCGCTCTGTATTATATTTAAAGAAATTAAATAATGAAGATTCTGCATGAATATATATTTCTCGCATTTTAAAAAAGCCGCGGTAACTACAGCCATTAAATTTTGAATAACGTAATCCTCCACCCGAATATGTGCACCTGGAAGCCCAAATTTTTAATTTCCAATTTGTTAGGCTAAAGGGAATTAGCCCAGAAGGATTATTAGTTTCAAAAAGGCATTTTGTAGCTTTTTACTATAAATGGTGAATCACGTTTTCAGTTGTTGCCACCAAGTAGTATCACCCGGTATAATATTTAAAGAAATTAAATAATGAAGAATCTGCATGATCTTTATTAAACAAAGGTAACACACAAAACGTTAAAAAAACGCCTCTTTCGGTGTGATAGAAAATCTGAAAGTTTTCGGTTTTTTTATTTGCTTTTGCATTACTTTTGTATTATTTATTTCATATTTTGTAAAACTTTAATAAACTTCTGATTAACAAACTTAACGACATGAAGACGAGTAGGGCAACACTTTTCGAAATAAAATTTTTTTATATCAGAACACGAGACTGTTGCCATTCGAAAAAAATAAAGATATTTATCTTTCAATTTTAATTAATTAAATTGCCGCTGCCGGAAGTAAAATTCTTTTATTTTCCACGCGCCAACTTGTTGCTACTCGATAAAGCTTAATGTATATTCATATTTTATCTGGGAGATTATTGAATAGTAAACTAAGAGATTAATTTTGTCGCAGCTGATCAAGAAACTCAATGGAAAATCAAGAGACTCAATGGAAGCTTTTCATAACGATATTAGACCAAATAAGGAATATTACCTAACAGATTCTTATCACTATAAAGAAATTTGTTCGGAAATTTAGAAATTAAATCCAAACAGCGAATTAGAAAAAAGCACGAGAATAGGAAAAGGTCTAAAGCATATTTTTACAAAGACGCATATAACGCATTGCTAGAAAAGAAGGAAAAAATCAGGTGGACAGGAAATATTTCACGTTGCTGTCCTAAGACTCTGTCATCTATAAGGAACGTTTTTGGTAAGAAAAAAAGATTCCTTTACCTAGCACTACATATAAGGAATGGCGCTAATTTTCATGTAGTCAAGAATTCAGAGTGATGTTCTTCTGTAATGAAGAACGTCGAATATTTAAATCTGTAGAAAAATATGCGTTCTCGGTTTCGACGAAATGCATATAATTCTAAATTAGCTATGACCTAAACTGGACCAATTCTCGGTCCTTTTCAAAAAGTGCGTTGGTTTAATCAGAGTCTCATTCGCAGTGGAAAAACCAATATTTTTGATTTTAACCTCGAAATGAAAGACATATTCAATCATTGGGCCCACAGCGGCGGGTGGAAAGTCGCGAACACGGTGTTCGGTCGAGGTTCAAATCCGCGACGGCTGGCTGCATGGCGTTTTCGTGGTTTTCCATGTAACGTGTAGACGAGCCAGTTCCTTAGAAAAGTCTCCACGAGGGCATCCCTTCCTTAG